GCCTCATTATTATCACCGTCAACAACAACAACAACGGCAAGCATCACCATCATCAGCCAACCTATTCAAACTTATCAATCTCGGTGTAGGGACGACAGTCTGACGAGCCGCCGCTGCTGACGACGACGACGACGACACAGACGATGATAACACGGAAGACAACGACGACGACGATGATGATGGAAGCGGAAGTTGAGGGTTGATGACGTCAGGGACGTCCAGGGATCTCAAGAGGTCACCCGTGTTCGTGTGGATCAGTACTGGACCCCCTATAAATTCAATTCAATTCAATTTATTCAACAAAAAAAGCCCCTATAAATTGCATGCATGCATGCATGCATGTGTGTTTGTATGTATGTTCGTATTTATTTATTCATTCATTCATTCATTCATTCATTCATTCATTGTCACACACCAAATGGAAACGCACCTAGCGAGCCGCTGACCACAATCCCGAGTTCAGCCGACACGATGGCACACGTGACCTCACTCTTGTGGCCGGTTAGGGTGGCCTTTGGAGTGGCGTTCTCGGAGCCTTCGTAGCGACGATGGTGATAATGATTGTGATGATGATGATGATGATGATGGAGACGATGATGGTGGTGAAGTGTTAGGATGGTGATGATGGTGATGGTGCGGACAAAAACCACAACCTCGCGCACACACAGCCACACACAGCCACACACGACCACAAACTAACTTCCATTATCGCCCAAGATGCACTGCTGCTTGGCCACCCAGTGCCACAACATGAGCGTGCAGTCTTTGGATCCCGTGACCACGTAGCAGTCTTGACTGACGGAGCACTCTGACCTGGCCACACAAGTTACGATAGACAGGTGGCCGAATATCGTCTGCGTTATCTTCGCTAGATGGCGAAGTTGTTGTTGTTGTTTGGTAAGTAAGTTAGTATCAAGTAGTGTTGTTGTTGTTGCCGTTGTAATGTAAATTAGTATCTAGTAATTGTCGTCGTCGTTGTTGTTGTTGTAGTTAAGTTAGTTAAGCCTCATTAGATGTGTGTGTGTGTGTGTGTGTGTGTGTGTGTGTAGAAAGTTTTTCAACGTTTAAACCACCATGTTCAGCATTTCGTATTCAAGTTTAAAAACCCTTGACAGATATGCACGTTATCACACATTTCTAAACATATATATATATATATATATATATATATATATATATGTGTGTGTGTGTGTGTGTGTGTATACATATATATATTTTGATGAATGAAAGATTGTTTCAATCAATTCAATCAATCAATTATGTGTTTATATGTGTGAACATACAGGACAGAAAATTCATTTCAACAATGGCTAAACATCTAAAAGTTTAGATGCAAGCAAAACTAAGAATTAATGAAGACACACTAACACACACGCACGCACAAACACACACGCACGCACAAACACACACAGACACACAAAGACAGACAGACAGAGATCAAAACACAGACCTGTCTCGATGTTGAATACTCTGAAACTCCTATCCCAGAACCCAACGGCGATGATGTGCCTGTTGTCGGCGGTGACAACAAAGCTGCTGTGGATGACGCGCAGTCGCTGGTCAAAGTTGTCGCCCAGGCTGCGACGGTTCGAAGCCGGGCCGGCCACTGATCGAGTGAGCAAGAAAATGGATGAATGTGGATAAATAAATGAGTGAATGAATGAATGAATGGATGGATGGATAAATTTAAGAATGAATAAATTATGAATGTAAAGATTGATTAGGCATGAATACATGTCTGAATTAATAAATAAACGAGTGAATGAAATCAATAAACATATGAATGAATAAATGAATGAACGAATGAATAAACGACTGAGCTATCTATCTGTTAATTCATCATCATCACCACCATCATCACCATCACCCTGATCTCACCCAACAGCTGATCCATAGTAAGGGGTAGTTGCGATTGGTGCTCACTCTTGTCCGAGAATCCTGGTGTCGGCACTTGAGAACTGGCTGTTGAGCGAATGAATGAATGAATGAATGAATGATTCAATGAATGAATGTATAATTGATTGAATGAATGAATGTATAATTTATTGAACGAATGAAAGTATGTATTAATAAACAATAAAACACGTACACACACACGCACACACACGCACACTCCACACCGAATCCGTCCCCCCAGAGATCTCACCCGCGGCATGGTTCCACTTATTGACGGCAAAGTTGTAGTTGCAGGTGAGGGTGATGACGGCCGGGGTGGGCACCGAGGGGTGGGTGTTGGCACTCACGTGAGTCACGGGCGAGTTGGAGAGGAACTTCATAATCATGCAGACGTCATCGGGAATCGTCGTGAACATCATCGGCGACTGCGTGTGTGTGCGTGTGTATGTGTGAGAAAGAGAGAGAGAGAGAGAGAGAGAGAGAGAGAGAGAGAGAAAGAAAGAGAAAGAAAGAGAGAGAGAGAGAAAGAGAGAGAGAGAGAAACAGTGTGTGAGTACATTGGTTTATATGTAAGTGTGAGTGACTGTGCACGTTGATTGGCTTGTTGTTCAGCTGGTAAGTAGATGAATGGTTTCATGTTGGGGGATGGATATTAACGACTGGCTAGTCAGTCAATTAAAAAGGAACGAACAAACAGAGGTGAACATGCAAACAGGCAAACAAACAAACAAACAAGTAAACAATAAAACAAACAAACAAACCAGATTCATAGGTGAACTCCTGGGCGGATGAGGCTCCGTGAGTAACTGCGAAGGAGTCTGTCCGAAACTTTGTATCTGGTTCTCGATCGCCTGATTTTGTGTTTGTTTGTTTTATTTTCAATCACACACACACACAGACAGACAAAAACAGACACAAACAGACACACACACACAGACGACGGATACATACCTCTCTGAGAACTGGATCACTGATACTATCAAGATTGACGCTACCCTCGTAGGTCAGGTAATAGAAGACGTTGGTCGACCTGATGGCCTCTGGGCCCCGCTGCTTGTATCCGAATATCAAATCTATCCACTGGTGCAACTGGATTGATACTATCTCAGATTCCAAGGCCTGATTTTGTCGGGGTGGAAGAATGTTTTTTTTAATGTTTTTTCTTCTAGTTTTTATGCTCTTTTTTTTAAAGTTATTTCAATTTCGTTTCAAGATAGCTGCATGCATCATCATCTTCTCATTTTTATCATCATCATCGTTGTCATTGTTATCAAAATTCCAATCATCATCATTATCATCGTCATCTTCATCATCGTGACGAACCATTCTCATAATCCGGACGAAATCTTCCGGAGATTTGGCCCAGGGCGGGAGTATGACGTTGTTGATGTTGTCCCCGTCATCATTGGTCCCCAGCGTGCAGTTGTTCGTGTTCACAAACATGTCAGAGAGGTAGTAAAACTCAGGAATCAATTCCTGAATAGATGAGTGAATAAAATAAAAGAATGAATGAATCAATCAATCAATCAATCAATCAATCAATCAACCAGCCAACCAACCAGCCAACCAACCAACCAATCAACCATCTAACCAATCAACCAACCAACCAACCAATCGACCAACCTTAACATCAGAAGTATCCCTCTGGCAATTCTTCCAAGCCTGTAGAACCGAATGGAATGTTCTGTCGGCGTGATCGAACTTTCCACCTTGTAGCCCCAGAAAGAATGTGGTGAAGGGCTCCTTAATCGAATATATGTGTGGATGTGTGCTTGTTCGTCTGTGTATGTATGTAGGTGTGTGTGTGTGTATATATATATGTGTTTGTATGTATGTGTGTGTGTGAGGATAGATTTAAACAGCAGCAGCAGCAGCAGCAGCGGTACTAACAACTCTGATGAGCCAGTTGAGGACGAACGCGGCCGTAGAGTAGTGGGTGCCGTAATGGAAGGCAGGGACGTCCGTGTTGTCCCACTGGTTGTACCTCTCCTCGAAGAACGACCTACGCGTTGGATTCAGCGCTCCTATTGGCTGTTAAAATTAGAATTTTATAAGTTGGTGGAGTCACGTACACACAAACACACACACACACAAACTATCACATTCCAACCTTGGAGAGGTCGCGGTAATTAGTGGCCAGGTTAAGGTCAAGGTCACTGGATTCGTAATTAACGATGACCCACGGGTAGACGGGGTACTGATTGAGGTCACAGTAGGTGCGCCCCGCCACCGTATTCAGGTACATCAGGTAGTCGAAGTTTGTGATCTCCCGCCTCTGCCATTTCTGGGTCATGTTCGACATCTTAAAGATCTGCTTTGGGGACGCCATGCTCACTCGCCTGTTTTGTTGTTGTGATTGTTGTTGTTTTGATTGTTGTTGTTGTGATTGTTGTTGTTTTGATTGTTGTTCTTGTTGACGACGAAAAACTCATAAATAGATTTCATTGATTGACTGATGGATCGATTGATCAACAAACCAACTAACCAACTAACCATCCAGCCAACCAACCAATCAACCCAGCAATCAAACAGCCAGCCAACCTGGTTTGGGGCAGTCCATACTTGACCCCGACACCGACCCTGGGCAGAACGTTGATGACCTTCCTGACCGTCGCAAAATCTTGGAAGGCAAACATCACTGCCGCTGAATTAATTAAATAATTCACAATTGAGTGAATGGAAGGATGAATGAATGAAGAAAAAAAAATGGCTGAATGAATAAATGAAGGAATGAATAAACGAAAAAAGAATAAAGAAGTGAGTAAGAAATTAAATTGAAAAATGAATGACTGATCGATTAATTAACTGATTGAATGAATGATTGAATAAACGAATTAACAAATAGATAAATAAACAAATTAATCATCAATCAATCAATCAATCAATCAACCAACCAACCAGCCAACCAACCAACCAACCAACCAACCAACCAACCAACCAATCAATCAATCAATCAATCAATCAATCAATCAATCAATCAATCAGCTAACTCCTGCTGGCCATGAATATCTCAATGGCGACGTTCTGCAGCAAATATTTCCTGCTGAAGATGGCGCGGATCTCGTTGAAGTGCCACTTACCATGCAAGTAATCAACGTACTGGAGGATCTGATTGGTAGATTGATTGGTTGGTTGGTTGATTGGTTGGTTGGTTGGCTGGCTGGCTAGTTAATTGGTTGATTGATTGGTTGGCTGATTGTTTAAACGATTGGTTGATTAGTCGATTGAATGATTGGATGGTTTGTTTGTTGAGAATTTAAATGATTTGTTGGTTATATGAATGGTTAATGAAAAAGCTTACAAAACAACCAGCCAACCAACCAACCAGCCAACCAGCCAGCCAACCAACCAACCAATCTACCAACCAACCAACCAGCCAACCAACCAGCCAACCAACCAACCTTCGGAGATACCTTCTTATTCCTCTCATCATCTTCATCCATCTCGAAGTACAACTCCACCTTGGTGATGGACAGCGTGCCGTTTACAGCGCAGCCTGGCGATATCAACTTACAATGAGTCGATAGAGCCACAGGACCTTACATGGTAATAATTATGATGATAATTATTATAATTATAAACTATATAATATATTATATAATTATATTTAAATATTATTATTATGACATAATTACTATCATTATTATACTTAAATATATTTACGGAAAACTCTAATAGCCTGGTATTAATAGTAAAAAGATGTAATGTAGCAGTAGTAACAAAATTACCATTACTGCTATTACAAGTAGCGTCAGTGTAGTAAGTGTAGTAGCCACAGCAGTAGTGGAAGTAGCGACAGTAACAGTAGTAGTAGTAGTAGTAATAGTAACAACAATTAAACACACACACACACATACACACACACACACGCACGCACACGCATCAACCTAAATAAAATACATTGAAGATAAAACCTATCATATAGAATTATTGAAAAAATGAAATGAAATGGAGTGGAATACTCACAAAACTCAAAAATTATACTAACATGCATAACGGTATATATATTGGCATGCTTAAAGTAAAATGAAAATACTTGGTCTGGAAAATTCCTTATCTTGGCCTAGTGATAGCTTACTACCTACATACACGAATAATAATACCAATACTAAAAGTTATGTAGGATACTGCTTCTACCACTAATACGCTGCTGCTACTACTACTACTACTACTGTTATTACTACTACTACTATTACTAATACTACTACTACTTGTTCAACTAATGATTTTGGCATACATACAACAACCTAGAAAACGCTACTAAAATTACTATTAAATGAATTAATATGCGAAGTATTATCTCAGACACGCACACACACACGCACACAAACACACAAACACGCACGAACACACATACACACAGGTACACGCGCACACACAAGCATACACGCACACATACCTGAGAATTCCACTTCCAAGTCTCGCTCGTCCATTTGCGAGAGATCCTCCTCGCTGGTATCCTGAACTTGTTGCTGGTGGTTGCGACTGACGCCACCCGCTGCCGCACCGCCACTAACCATGGCGGCCACCATATTGGCCGACGCGTGGTGGTACTGCTGATGGTGATGAAGTTTGTACGCCTCTCTAGCCGCGTTTATTGCATCTTCTGTGGCACCTGCGATTGGTTATGATTGGTTGGTTGTGACTGTATGTTTGTGATTGGCTGGTTGTAGTCGCCGAAGTTTTATTTTAAATCTACACAAACAGACGTAGCAGCAACAAGAGCATCCTCATCGCCACCATCGCCACCACAACTCACCATGTTCGATAGCAGCCTTCAACGTAGCGTCAGCGTGTTTCGTCCCAAACGGATTCCTCACAAATCTTCTCCTCCTTCTAGAATCATCTTCCCAGTTGTCTAACTTCCAAAATCCCAGCTGCTGCTGCTGCTGAAATAGCTGCTGGTGTTGCTGCTTTTGTAGCTGCTTCGTTGACTGCAGCTGCACAATCTCGCTGTCGTCGATTTGACGTTGTTATAAATATCATGTCTTTCTCATTAGGTACCGTTATAACTAAGATTGCAACAACAACAACAGTGAAGACGATGATGACGACAACAATTTTATTTATTTATTTATTTAAAGGATGATCAAAAAAAGATACACTTGTGGATAGGCCGCCCTTAATTTAAAAAAAAATTCTAACTATAAATGTAACAGAAATATCAAATAAACACATACACACATAAACTCACGCTCTCACACACTTACAGACACGCACCATACTATAATTCATACCATAATACTGTTATATTTTCAAACGGTAACAATATAATTACAACTGAGATTGAAAATTCACTCACAAAGAACATTAAAATAAATAATAGTGTAAAATTATTTAAAATAAGTGTTTTTTTAAATAAAACATGTTTTTAACTTGTTTTTAAACAAGTATAATGAGTTAATCGCTTTAGTTACACGCGGCAATACAATTATCCAATAAGCTCGGGACCAATATGTTTGATGCCCGAGTGAGAAACTTTTAATCTCACAGTATGGGAATAGAAAATGGAGGTGTGTCTGACAAATTTCGTTTGAATGTCATTGCTAAGAGTGAAAAAATTTGTAGATTAATTAGGCAGCAGTTGACGTGAAAATTCAAATAAAAAAATTGGCGTGAAGCAAATGTGTAAATCTTTAATTGGTGATTGCAAGCATCCTCTGGGTTGCCTTTTTTTGAAAACTGGAATAATTTTAGAAACTTTGAAACGAGTTGGAAATACGCCTTGCGATAACGATAGGTTAATAATGCGAGTCGGAGGAGCAAGTGTTTCAAAAATAATTTTTTTTTATATAATAAAATGACTTAATGTATCATCTGAAGTAAGTTTTTTTTCTTTCATGTTCGTGACTATACTCTCAATATTTCTATTTTGTCAGTAGGTTGGAATGTATGTAGAATTAAGTAAAGTATTATAATACATATTGGTCTATTACTATTAGTTATTGCATTATGCAGCTCTTTAAGTAAACTGTCAGTTACATCTATAAAATATTTATTGAATGCATTACATATTACACCAAACAACAAGATGATAATAATAATAAATAATGATAATGATGAACAATGATGACGACGACGACGACGATGATGACAGCAACAACTAATGATAAGAACGAAGATAACAACGGCGCATCCTGATAGTGATAGATGACATACATATGCGTGAATGACAAAATATGAACTGACCTAGATTCGCCCCAGGCTCCATGCCTATTGGTCAGCAGGTTGATGACCCTGTCTCGTTGTTTCGAGGCTATCACGTGATCTCGACGCCTGGCGGAAGTTATCAGGTGGTTGCACATCTTCTCCTCGTTCTTTCGATCCATCATCGACTGGGCACAGATCGTCTGTGATTGGTCGGTCGGTTGAATGGTCAGACGGTTGATTGGTTGAGCAAATGAATATGCGAATGGATGAGTAATTAATTGATGGACTGATTTAGAGATTGATTGATTGATTGATTGATTTATTGATTGAAGACAACATTGATTGACACCCAAACGAAGGGACAAAAGAAACAAACACACGCACACAAATACAGACAGACAAACACATATAAAGACAAACATAGAGACGAATACACAGACCTCAAAATCGGCATGTTTCTGAACGTCATCAGCTCTCATTCGATTCAAGATGAAGTCGGCTTCATTGGCCACACGGACGATGTGGTCACGTGTGGCGTGGGCTAGCAATCTGATTGGTTGATTGATTAGTTGGTTGGTAGATTAAATGATTAATGGTAGATTAGTAAGTTAGTTGATTGAGTAGTTACATGCTTCTCTTTGAATGAATCAATTTTTTATTTTTGATATAAAGGCGTAATTAAGACATCAACCAACCAACAAATCAACCAACCAATCAATCGTTCAATCCACCAACCAGCCAACCAACAAACCTTCCTTCATTAACTAATTCAATGAAAGCCAGACCGGCATGCTTCTGCAATGAGTTCTGCCACTCTTGTGAACAGAGCAGCATCACCAACTCAACTACACTTGTGCTCTGTCTTAGTGTCACCAAGCCTGCATTGTGATTGGTTCGTTGATTGTGATTGGTTCGTTGATTGTGATTGGTTCGTTGATTGTGATTGGTTCGTTGATTGTGATTGGTTCGTTGATTGTGATTGGTTCGTTGATTGTGATTGGTTCGTTGATTGTGATTGGTTCGTTGATTGTGATTGGTTCGTTGATTGTGATTGGTTCGTTGATTGTGATTGGTTCGTTGATTGTGATTGGTTCGTTGTTATTGGTCAGTTGTCATTGATCGGTTGTATGTAGTTGGTCGGGTTTAATTGATCGAATATGATTGGTTGGCTGGTCGGTTATAATTGGTTCGTGAATAGTGATTGGTTGGTTTTAGTAGGCTGGATGGTTGGTAGCAACTGATCAGCTGGATGTGATTGGTGGGATGTGATTGGATGGTTGATTGTAATGAATTGGTTGATTAGTTAAAATTCCTCCAATTAACCGCCAATCAGCAGTTCCTGGCCATGAGAGCCTAGCAAGGTTTTCGACAGGAAGGAGGCGAAGTCCACGAATATCTCCCTCAATAACGGGGCCACTGGGCCTAAATGAATGAATGAATCAATGAATGAATAAATGAATGAATGAACGAACGAACGAACGAACAAACGAACGAATGAATGAATGAAGAAAAATGGCAAAATGAATTACACCTACATATAAATTACTGAATGAATAAAGGAATGAATAAACAAACGAACAAATAATCGTGTGAGCCAATGAATTAATATTAGAAAAGCAAACGATGAATGAACGATAACAAGAACGAACGTACGAGCGAACGAACGAACAAATGAAAAAGTAGATGAATGAATGAAAACTGAAACAAACAAACAAACAGACAAACAAACAGACAAACAAACCCAGAGCTCTTTCCAATCTCTCCGTCAATGTCCCTGAATCTTTGTTATCCGAAAGTAGCATCTGCTGGGCCCCAATCACCTAATCATAATAACAATAATTAATAATAATAATTAATAATAATAATTAATAATAATGATAATGATAATAATAATAACCCACCTGAACAGGACCAGGTATGTTAGCGTGAGAAACAACGACTCTATCGCTACTATTACCACCACCATCGCCGTAATCGCCATCATCACCATCATCGCCGTCGTCATCATCATCGCCGTCGCCTTGATGGTGATGCCGATGACGACTGTGATGATGATGATGTAGCTGCTGCTGCTGCTGCTGGTGCTGGTGGTGGTGAGTGGCGATGGCGGATATCTCACCGCCGTTGTTGTCGTCGTCCGGGTTGTTGGGCGCCTCCGAAGTGCTCCGTCTATAAATAGCCGATTTAGGATTTTGTTGTTGTTGGAAATGATGATGATGATGAGGTTCAAGGTCACCTACGTGAGGCATAACGGCAGCTGCGTATCATGATGATGATGACGGTGAAGACGATGACGATGATGATGGTAATGATGATGGTTAGTTATTTGAAAAAATTATTTATTTACACATTCATTCAGTTCCACATTCACTCAAGACAACAACAACAACAAAAAGAGCCACCAACCTTCGCCACCACGACTAGCCACAGCAGTGACAACATCCGAATCGACAGTAACGACCGCAGGCGTAGTAGCCGTCTCATTAGCAGCTGTAGTAGGAGCAGCAGCAGTAGGAGCAGCCGCGCTTGTAGCAGCAGTATTAACCCCAGCTGCAGTGGAAACGTCCGCATCATCAACGTCATCACTAATTTCCGTCAGAATTGAAGATGAAGCCATTGTAGTTACGCTGATTAGGCTCGTGTCGATCTGGGACGACAGGTGCATGTTGTCGCCCGTTCCGTACGGCGACAAAATTGTGGCGGCTGTGGAAGCGGCCAATGGTAGCGTGGTTGATTTTGTTGCAGTTGTTGTTGTGGAGTGTTGTTGTTGATGTTGTGTGATGTTTGTTACGTCACTCGTTGAAGTGCCCAATTGAAGTCGTTGATTGTTGTTGTTGTTGTTCGAGTTGTCTGAATGTTGTTGTTAGTGTTGTTGCGATCATCATCAACAACTTTATTATCATCATCAACAACAACAACAATAACAACATCATCATTATCAACAACAACAAAAACAACATCATCACCACCATCGTTAAAACAACTAACCATTAGCCAAAGTAGCAGTCTTATCAGATTGGCCAGCAACGACAACATCATTATTATTTTTATCACCGTTAACACCATTATCATCATTGTTGTTGTTGCTGTTGTTGTTGTTGTTGATGACGTAATTGTTGACGTCATTGCGTGGGTCATGTTCGATCCGAGCTACCACTTTTAGACTCTCACCTGGGGAAAGAGTGAGATGAACAAGGTGAGGAAGAGAGAGAAAGAGAGAGAAATTAAAAAAAAATATATAAAGTAAAAAAAAATACATACATACATACACACACACGCGCGCGCGCGTACACACACATACATACATACGTACCCTCGTTAGCGGTTATTTCTGCTCTATCATTGCTGTAATCATCTTCTATGACTCCTTCGCCATCTATGTGTGTGTGTGTGTGTGTGTGTGTGTGGTGTGTGTGTGTGTGTGTGTGTGTGTGTGTGTGTGTGGTTGTATGTAAGCGTGTGAGAGTGAGTGATGGTGATGTTAACTCATTTTATTGAATAATGCAACAAAAAAGAATGAATGACCTTTAACCTTTAATTATCATTATTTTTATTATAAGTGTTGTTGTTATAATTGTGACTTTCTTATTAATACTGTTATTTACTGATAATAATAATTATAATTATAATTATTAATAATTAATATTATTAGCTGTAAATATAAAACTATCGTTATTAAAATTGTAACTTGCGAAATCCAAACAAAATAATAATACCAGACTCTATCTTGCTATTCTAACTTGCAACAACAACAACAACAATAATAATAATAAATATAATAAATAAAACAAACTAACAAATGAATAAATAAATTAACTAATGAATGATGATAACAATAAACAAATGAAATTATTAAATTTCATTTCCAACACAATAAAATTATATATATATATATATATATATATATATATATATATATATATAGCGAAAGACAAAAAAGATCTATCATTCTCATTTGGTAGCTACTTAACATGCGTATATCATCGAACAAACATCGTCATTCATTCATTCACTTGTTCGTTTACTTGTTGATTTAGCTATTAAAACATACAGCATATACACAGACATCCATGCATGCATGCACACACATTCATTCATTCAATCAATCACTTATTCACCATTCCAACTAACATCCTAATTAGCCAATTAATCAGCATCGACCAATCCTCAAATAGCCAATCAACCAGCCAATCAGCAAACGACTACCTTCGCAACCCCATCCAGACAGGTAAATCTGAGACAGCACACTCGTCGTAACATCAACGTCATCATCGTCATCATCGTCAGCACCGATAATGACGTCATCGTCGCCATAAACATCACCGCCTCCACCGTTAACGCAGCGACTATTTCCGCCATAACTATTACTATTACCAGCGTCATCATCGTTGTCATCGTCGTCATCATTAGTCGTGTATTGATTGTATATGTACTTGCTATTTCGCGAATTATTTCTCTTGTAATAACCATCTGTACACACATACATACATACATACATGCATACAAACAAACAAACATATATACACACATACAAATTTACATACAAACATGTGGAGAGAGAGTGAAGGCAAATTTGAAAAAATAAAGAAATATAAATGATATACGAATGAACTAATTAGGCGAAAATTTTAATTGTTTGTTGATAAATTTCATCATCATCATCTTCATCATCGTCTTTTTATTATCAACACCAGCATCATCATCATCAACAACAACAACAACAAACATAATCATCATCATCGCCAACAAATGCTACGACAACAAACTATAACAAAGGAACACCAAACAACAACAACAGCAACTCACCTTTAACAACACCGCCACCATCATTAACTTCCCTCTTTTTCTTCCCATTATTATTATTATTATTATTATTATTGCCACCAGAACCGCCTGTACCATTACCGGCGGAATTCGATATAGCCGGTTCGAGGATGTCCCGGTATTTCGATACCATTAATACCGAGACGAAATATACAATCGCGAGAGCAAGGAATTGAGCTTGTTTTGTTTCTTCCTGTTTGTTTGTATGTATGTATGTATGTATGTTTGTTTATTTGTTTGTTTGTTTGTGTTGTTGTGTTGCCTAACTAAATACAACTCTATATCACCTTATGTAAGTCTATATAATTTTATATAACCCATATATAACTTTATATAACCCCTTATAACTCTATATAACTCTATATAACTTTATATAACTCTCTATAACTATAAATGAACCAATATAACCCTATACAACTCTATATCCTAACTCTATACAACTCTATATAACCCTATACAATTCAATATAACTCTATCTACGTATGCGCGCATACAAAACATTTGCATATGTCATGTAATCAAACACGACCGTACCATATTCACAAAACAAAAGCGTACAGAAGTGCAGGTGTACCAAAGGTAAACGTACATTGTGTGCACGCGTACTAACAACATCCCTGTAGACGACGGCTCTCAGCCTGTTGATATCCATCTCCTGGAGTAATTTCTCCGGATCGCGAATGGGATTTATCGATCCCAGCTTATCCATCGTGTTCTGTGGATGGCGTGGCGATCATGATTATTACGTTGAATGTGATTGATGATTAGAAAGGTTAAAGGTCATTTGCCTTCGGCGATTTTCACATGTGATAATTAGAATTATAAACGAAATAACTGTGAAGGACCTTATTGGGGTGCACCCCTGCTATGAGGGCTTGGATTGGATCGGGCCTTTCGTTATCAGCGTTGCTGTTATTGTTGCTGCTGCTTAGCTTCCTACTGCCAACGCCGCCACCACCACCGCTGACGGCAGTAACTGCCGTCGCAGCAGAGCCACTAATCGCCATCGCTTGTTGTTGCTGCTGCTGCTGAAGTTGCTGTAGTTGCTGCTGTTGCTGTCTGTAGCGACACTCTAAGCAATTTCGAACTGCTGCTGTACATACTGAACGAGTGGATGAGTGAATGAATGGGTGGATGAGCAAATGGACGGACAAACGAACGAATGGATGAAAGGGTGATTGAATAAATAGATGGATGAATGAGTGAGTGAATAAACTAATAAAAAAAAATAAATAAACAAACGGTTAACCAAACTAACAAATAACTTCAAACCTGAAACGAACATACAAAAGAAAAAAAACAAGAAATAAACAAAGGACGAAAGAAAGAAAGGAACAAACAGACAAATAAACGAATGAAAAAACCACTCCTACCCAATCTGAGACACTGCCTTAAAATGCCGCCACTATTCATACTCTTCTCCTGCTCCAGTTCTGAAAAATTGAGCGAACTGGCAAAGACGAGAATGTCGGCCATGTTTATTAGTCGCTGGAGGAAGGAGACTGCCTGCTCTATTGAGAGGCCCTGGTTCGGCTCCAACATCTCTATTTCACCCTGCGTGCGTGTGTGCGTGTGTGTGTGTGCAAGTAATTATGTCTGTGTAGCTTTTTATGTGAGCGTATGGTGAATATTTTTTCAGATTCCTGTGTCAATATTAGCACTAGCTGTAAGAAGGGTAAATAAAAGACATCAAAAGATTAATTAAACATTTAATTGATTGATTGATTATAACTAATCAATCAATTAATGAGCCCGGCAACCAGCCAACCTTGGGTGACGTGGCAGCAGCTAGCAGCGGCAGCAGTCCGCCGCATGACGTCACCAAGATGTCTGCCAGTTGCGAGATCATGTGGGTGACATTTACAACAAATACGTGGTTCTCGGCAGCGTTCACGTAGTCTATGACTGTTTTGCTGGCGTGTCTGTCATTGGTCGGTCGGTTGGTTGATTGATTGATTGATTTGTTGATTGATTGATTAGTTGATTGATTTGTTGATTGATTGATTTGGCGTGTCTGTCTTTGGTCGGTCAGTTGGCTGATTGATTGATTTATTGATTGATTTGAGTTGATTGATTGATTTTTGATTTGTTGATTGATTGAATGATTCATTGATTAATAAATTGACTGATTGACTGATCTAAAAACTGACTGGTTAATTAAAGAGTTATCAAATAGTGTATAGAAATGAACCAACATTCCACAAAGAAACAAGCACACACACACAAACAAACAAACAAACATACGTACGCACATACGAAAAAATACATATACACACGCACACAAACACGTACACAAACAAACGTACGTCTTCCACTGGTGTACATCTTGCTCCAATGAATACAAGAGATCTGACAGCAGCTTCTGATGCAAGTAGGACCACCTGAATCGGAAATGAATGAATGAATGAATGAATGAATGAATGAATGAATGAATGAACGAACGAACAAACGAACGAACGAATGAATGAATAGACCAACTAATAAAATATTCAATCAATTAACTAACCACCAATCAATCAACCGGTCGTCAGCCAGCCAGTCAGTCAACAAAACAATCAACGAACGAACCAGCCAACCAGCCAATGTATGAACCAACCAACCAACACAAACCTGAATTCAGGAATTCTAAATGGCGGAGCCCTAGGTCCAGGGCTGAACAGCTGTCGGTGCGGTGTGCTGTTGGTATTCGTGTTGAGATTGTTGCTACTGTTGGAGTTGGTTGTGACATTATCAGGAAGGTTTGTGTTGTTGTTGTTCTGTTGTTGCTGCAGCAGCTGCTGTTGCTGCTGCCGGCGTGGTAGTTGTTGTTGTTGTCTGTCATCGTTATCATCATCGCCAGCCGTATCGTCGTCGTCGTCATCGCCGTTAATTCCGTATTGATTGTTGTTGTTGTTGTTATTATTGCAGTTTTTAACATTATCTTCAACATTATTATCGGCTTCATTACAGGCTACAACAACGTCATTATCATCCTCTGCCTCATTAATAGTAGATTTTTCTGCTGCTGCTGCTGCTGCTACTACTGCTGCTGCTGCATAGCCATCCTAACGTATCAAGTGGGAAAAAAGATAAATGTCAGTACTATAATGCCATCATTCAAATTCTCACTTTTTCCTTATTTCTTTCGTCTTCTTCCTCCTCATCAACATCATTATCATCGTCATCATCATCATTTCCTCGGCCGGAAGTGATCGCGTTGCCACTGGAGTTGTTGGCCCCAACATGGCCGCCGCCGCCATTTTGAATTGCGCCTAAACCGGAAATGGTGCTGATTGGATGGCGTCGTCTGAGATTAGGGTCTGCCACGTTCGTCACCTGCATGCGATCGTACTGCTGGTAGACGCGCACCATGTGGATGCGGAAGTCTTCGTTCGATACCTTTTTAAGTGGGCATGTGTGTTCTTGTGTTTCTGTGTGTGTGTGTGTGTGTCGTGTGTGTGTGTGTGTGTGTGTGTGTGTGTATGTATGACTTGTGTGTTTGTTTGTTTGTATGCTTGCATATATAATACTATTTGGTCTGCTTGTGCAGGTATTTTGTTCTTTCATTAAATAAAAATGAACGTTTGTATGTGTGTGAGAGAGCTTTGATTAATCTACTGACCAAAAACAAACAAACCAGCCAACCAGCCAACCAACCAGCCAACCAACCAACCAGCTAACCAACTAATCATCCCACCACCATCCGCGAGAAGAACCTACCTTAGAATGTAGGATGGCCAGGGTATCGATCCAGACCCTCCAGCCGCCAAACTCAAACTTGACGGCATGGTGCAGCAGCATCCGGAAGAGGGACATGACGGATTCGGTTATCTGCTGCTCCTCCTCGTCTTTAGGGTAGATGTAAGCCATGGAGAAGAGCCAATCCTGCCAGACCGACATCTGAAGGACCACTCTGTTTGTTGGAGAGAGAGAGAAAGAGAGAGAGAGAAAGAGAGTGGATGAGAAAGAGTTCTCACTCCAGCCATTTAATCAATCAATCAATCAACCAATCAATCATTCACACAATCGACCAACCAATCAATCATCACACGATCAACCACACAACCAGCCAGCCAGCCAACCAATCAGTCAAGCAAACAAGGCGACCTACCTTCGGTTCTCCTTATGATTGCTGCATAGTTTAGTGAGGTTGGAGAGGAATAACCTTTTGACGGCCATGACTTGGTTCGGATGGCCCTGAGACTGCCTGATCAAACTGGCTATGACCTTCAAGATGACTGTTTTCGGAAAGAGAGGAAAAAAAAATGGAGAATATGAAAAAAGTGAAGGAGAGAGAGAAAGAACAAAATCATCATCATTATTTTTCTCCACCTTCTCCTAAACTTCATCATCATCATCTCACTTACGGGGATTTTCCAGTTTGTAGCTGTTGTCCGGCTCTTCCGTTCTCTCGATCACGATGTCGCACGTCATCTTCTCCGTCATTATCTAGGAAATGACGTCATCATCACCGTCACCATCATCATCATCATCATCATCATTATTATTATCATTATCATTACCCTTATAATCACTACCATCATCATCATCATCATCATTATTATTATCATTATCATTACCCTTATAATCACTACCACCATCATCATCATCATTATTATTATCATTATCATTACCCTTATAATCACTACCATCATCGCCATCATCACAATCACAGTCAGTGGTATCACATAGACTACATTAGGCATAATAGGTAGACAGACGGTCAGTTAGAACCTTGGACACCCCTCAGCTACATAACATCCACCTCCACTCTGAACCTACCTCAAATAGAACATGGTAGGTTCCGACGGTGAGATATTGAGAGTTCAGCGAGAGGCGCTCGGTGATTAGGGAGAAGAGGTTGTAGGGTGTCATTGCCTCGTGCTTACGTCTGATCGGTCGCCATTATTATTATTATTATTATTATTATTATTAATAATGTTATTATTATGATTAATGTTATTATTATTATTATTATTATTATTAATAATGTTATTATTATGATTAATGTTATTATTATTATTATTATTATTATTACACACGCACAAATAATTTACTACACATAATACAATTCCATGATATTAACTCTAACTTGTGAGTGCTTCGAGTTAGGAAGAAGCCGAGCAGCTTGAGCGCCTGTATGCGTATTAGCTCATTTGAAGATGCCAGTAGTTTGAAAACTGCCCTGCGGAGTGAGTGAATGAATGAATGGAGTGAACGAACGAATGAATGGAGTGAACGAATGAATGAATGGGTGAATGGATAAATGAGTGAGTGAGTGAATGAATGAATGGATAGATGGATGGATGAATGAATAAATGAAAGGATGAATGAATGAATGAATGAACAAATGAATGAATGGATGAATGGGTGAATGGATGAATAAAAGTGCAAAAGAAAGGAAGTATGCAAAGGAAAAACATGAACCGTAAAAATGAACTAACAAATTGTTGGTTGAATTTATGAAGAATTAATTTAATAAATCAATCAGTCAATCAATCAACCAACTAAATTAATCAACCAATCAACCAACCAATCAACTTATCAATCAACTAACTTAATCCCGCCCTTTCTGTCAAACGCGGGAACCATTGAGGCTGGATGTTCGGCCATTAGTTGCACCGTCAGATCCAACACATCCATAATGTTATCATCCTTTGAATGATTGATTAATTGATTGATTGATTGATTGATTGATTGATTGATTGATTGATTGAAAATTGAATGAAAATTGAATGAAAAAATGGTAAAACAATGTCCGAATGAATAATGAATAATGAACTTAGAATAATGAACATTACCGACCTCATGAACTGTGGAAAGATAGTTGATGAGTGACAGTAATTCTTCATCTTGAACTCCTGACAAATCAATGAAACTTCCAATCAATCAATCAATCAATCAATCAATCAATCAATCAATCAATCAATCAATCAATCAATCAATCAATCAATCAATCAATCAATCAATCAATCAATCAATCAATCAATCAATCAATCAATCAATCAATCAATCAATCAATCAATCAATCAATCAATCAATCAATCAATCAATCAATCAATCAATCAATCAATCAATCAATCAATCAATCAATCAATCAATCAATCAATCAATCAATCAATCAATCAATCAATCAATCAATCAATCAATCAATCAATCAATCAATCAATCAATCAATCAATCAATCAATCAATCAATCAATCAATCAATCAATCAATCAATCAATCAATCAGCCAATCAATCAACCAACCATCCAAACAATCAACCAACCAAACAAACAACAAACCAACCAACCAATCACCTGAACCTCTGACGACTAGATGTCTTATGTACTGTAGCAGAAAACTCCGTAACTCTAAGATGTCTTCTCGACTCGGTCGAGGTCCATCTGATGTTGTTGATGTTGTTGTTGATGTTGTTGTTGATGTTGTTGTTGAAGTTGTTGTTGATGTTGTTGCTGCTGATGTTGTTGTTGTTGCTGCTGATGTTGTTGTTGTTAGATCAGTCTACATACACAACAAACCAAACTACAACGCACACACAACAACGGCCACATACACACACCGACCCACACGACGACAAACACACACGACGACAAACACACCGACCTACGCCCTTAGGGGTGACCCCGCTGCGGTTTTGCGGGTTGACCACCCAGTAATAGTAGAGTAGGGAGTGCATTGTTTGCATGACGGAACTAACGCGTCTGATGTTGTTGTATATCTGGGCGTCCGATATGAAGTCCGTAGATAGATAGGTGTATAATTTCCTCTGAACCTGTTGTTGTTTGTTTGTATGTCTTCATGCTTGTTTGTTTGTTTGTTTGTTTGTAGGTATATAAGTTTGTTTTTGTTTTGTATGTCTTAATGTTTTCATGTTTGTTTGTTTGTTTGTATGTTTGTCTGTTTATTTGTTTGTATGTATATTTGTTTATGATTATTGTAATCATTACGACACTAGCGAAGAAAGAACACTGACGGCGATATTGGAGTAGATCCAGAGTGCCGGATTGAACAGGATATGATCGAGGAGATGCTTCAGGAGTGGGCCTCCCGTCGGCAAAGATACTAAATATTTCGTCATAGACAGGAAACAGTTCAGCACATTCATCGTAATGTGGTGCCTCGTCGACTGGGGTTATGAAAATGATATTAACCATCATCACCATCATCATCACTATCATCACAATCATCATAGTCATCATCACCATCATCACTACTATCATCACCATCATCACAATCATCATCACCATCGTCACCGTCCTCATCATTATCAGGACCTTTTCCAGTAGGAAGCTGATAACTAGGAAGCCTTTTGTTTGTAAGAACTGCTGCTGTATCGTATTGGAGGTCTCAATCAGGTCACAGAGTAGACGCATTAAAATGGAACTGATGATGATGATGATGTTGATGATTGTGATGATGATGATGATGATTGTGATGATGAGGATGATTGTGATGATGAGGATGATTGTGATGATGAGGATGAAGATGGTGATGATGGTGGAGGTGGTGATTGTGGCGATGGTAGTAATTGTAGTGGCGATAGTAGTGGCAACATGATCTTCGTCATCGTCGTCGTCGTCATCATAGTCATTGTCATCATCACACTAACCAGATGTTATAATCAACAAAATCAGATTGTGTCTGTTGCGGATAGTCCAACTGACTGAATAGAGGATACAGAACCTGTATGTATGTATGTATGTTTGTATGTTGTATGTATGTATATTTGTTTGTATGCATGTTTGTTTTTTAGTTTGTATAAATGTATATACGTCAGCATAGAGTATTTATATATGCAAATTGAATGTTCCTAGATACTAGATGATAGTTATATACGTAATAATGTATTGCTATATACAAAAATGAATAGCAAATAAATTATTGCCAACTTAAAGGCCAACCAACCAATCAAAAACCAACCAACCAGCCAACCAACCAATCAAAAACCAACCAATCAACCAACAAGCCAATCAAAAACAAGCCAGCCATTCCAACAACCAATCAACCAACCAGAAAACCAACCAACCAATCAGACAACACCTAACCTGAACTCCGCCAATAGAGTGAAGGGTGCTGTGAATAGAATGGGTGGCGACGGACCTGACCTGGTTCTGCATGAGGGCGTGGGGGCTGTGTAGGAAGTAGGTCGGGTTATATTTGGGGCTCGACTCGAGGCATAACTGACTGTCACATGACACGGGGGTGTAGAGAAAAACAATTGCCTGGCTGAGTTTACCATCGTACAAAATTCTTTTTACTGGCTCGTTCAACAGAAGACCGCTCTCGTTTTCAAACCTAAACTGGCCCTAATTAGTGGATAGATTGATGGGGTAAAAAATTACACGGATGAAATAAATGGACAGACAAATAAATAAATAAATAAAAGAACAAACAAATGAATTAAAATTCAATTTTTTTAAATAAAACAAATGAATAAATCAAGAAAACATGAAATAAAATTATTCAAATTAAATAAAGAAAAGTCCACTTTGTATCCAGGACCCAGGTACTCGAGGGCTGCAATTTGATTGGCTGAGAGGGCCTCGCCGAAAAGGTACACCGACGATAATTGGCCGCTAAAAATAGTCTCCGGATCCATGTCGTGGCTGCAGCCCAAGTAACATTTGTCGTATGGCTGGATAAATGAATGATTGAATAAACGAACGACCGACCGACCGAACGATTGAATAAATGAATGATAAATGAATGAATGATTGCTGGATGGGAGGATGGATTGTTGCAAGAATGAACAGACAAATTGATGACATATACACAGAAGACAGACAGACAGACAGACATACGGACAGACAGACAGACATACGGACAGACAGACATACGGACAGACAGACAAAGAGACATACATCACTAGTGTTAACGAGCCACGTCATGTCAGTGTGTGAAGCTGGAACCCCGTCAACGTAGCAGTGAAGTTCACTTTTACTCCATCGATTGTAAACGAACACGATCGTTATCATGTACCACTGTTGATGATGATGATGATGAAGAAGAAGATGACGATGAAAAAGAAGAAGATGATGATGATGAAAATGATGGTGAAGATGATGGTGATTAATATAAGGGCGATGGTAACGAATCTGGTAGCGACTGATATCATCTGCTAATGAAAGCAATGACGACGATGATGATGATGGTGAAGAGGACGATGACGACGATGACGACGATGAGGATGATGATGATGATGAGGACGATGATGACAATGATAAATAAGTAATGATAACGATACCTCTCTCGGATGGAAATCATACTTGACGCAGTGCTGGAAACCTTTTCCTGAGAAATGATTCGTGATAGAAAGACAGTGGGAATGAGAAGAAATGTGGATGACAGAAATGACGATGATGATGATGACGATTATGGTAATGATGTCGCTGGCGATACTAATAACGGTAATGATGATGAGGATGATGATGACGGTGACGTCCCACCTTTTATCTTCATGGAGGTGATGACTAGGGCGTTGCCAAAGAAATGACCTGAATAGCCGACACCTTTGCTCGTCCGGAAGCTGCCAAACATCATTACCGCCACTGCAGTCGTCGTCACTATCATCGCCATCATCATCATCATCATTATCATCGTCGTCGTCGTCGTCGTCTTCATCACAACCATAGACATCGTTATCATAATAACAATCGCAAGCACACGTACTAACACACGTACATGTACACAAACACAAACATACATAAACACAACATACACACACATACATAAACACACACACACACACAAACAATCAAACAAACAGACATCCTACCAGAATAGATAAGGTTTTTCTCTGTCTGCATTCGAACCCGGGTTAGGATCGACTCTAAACCAGCAATGAAACGTCCAGCCGTTCTGGTACGGCCACTTACTAATTGGCGGAATGGCTATCGCCTATGTATGTATGTATGTATGTACACACACACACACACACACACACCACACACACACACACACACACACACACACACACACACACATACACACACACATACATACATACATACATACACAAATGTACACACGTACTCACCGATTCTTTTTTACCGGGAAAACTGAAAAACTCATCAGGTCCGTGTCTTTGTGGCATCTGCTGGAGAACTCTCAACAGCTTCGTTGAATGTCTTGGCTATCAATCAATCATTCAATCCCCCTCCATTAATCTCCCTCAATCAATCAACCAACCAACCAACCAACCAACCAACCAACCAATCAATCAATCAATCAATCAATCAATCAATCAATCAATCAATCAATCAATCAATCAATCAATCAATCAATCAATCAATCAATCAATCAATCAATCAATCAATCAATCAATCAATCAATCAATCAATCAATCAATCAATCAATCAATCAATCAATCAATCAATCAATCAATCAATCAATCAATCAATTAATCAATCACTCTCAATCAATATTCAACCAGTCAGTTGATCGGCCAATCAATCAATCAATCAATCAAGACAAACCCACCCATTTGCCGTCCGGTGTGGCCTTCAAATGGTAAAATATTTTCCTCAACTCAGCAACCGTTATGCTGAAGTTCGCTAGAGAAGACATCGCTCAACCATCAAAT